AGTAAGTGAAATTCAAATCATCCATGATATCTCCTCCCATTAAGTGGTTAATGGCCCAATAAATACAAGACAATCAAATCCGACAAACATTTTAACACGGTAAGGAGAAAAATATAATACTCGTGGTTTGGCAAACAGCCTATTGGAAATGGTCAAACATTTTACCTTGCAAAGACATTACTTGCCTCCTTTCCTAAAAAGAGACAATTATCCTTCCTACAAATCGAAGTTTCAATCATATACAAAAATAATTTATTAAAAACACAAAAGACAATTTTTGTATACATTTCAAGCAATAATCGACAAAAAAGTTGGAGTTCTTCCACAGTAAGGAGAGAAGTATTTTCGTAATACATTTTCAAAAATGGAATTTTCCGATTTAAGAGCATTGCATTTGGTGGTGGCTAGGTTGAGTAAAATAGTAACAAATTTTTGTTTGGCTCTTTTTTGTGTGTAACAATAAGTACTTTGGAAAACAGATGATCAATTTTCAATACAGTTCAAGACACCTACCTACCACCAGTTTAGTAGTATCAACTAAAGGGTGGAACTAAAATCATAAGTTCACAACTGATAACTGACACTAGTTGTTGATATATAAAGAGAAAATTACCTAAGACAGTAAAGTCGGTTGATGAGATCTTGGATCATCATGTGTTTTGATTTGGCTCTCATATGAACAAACAACCCTTATTACACACACCTCATACAAACATTTAAACAAACACTCCAACAACATCATAAAAAAACAAAACAACTTTGTTATAGTTTTTGTTGCATTATTAATTGGCACAACATGATGCACACCTTGGAATTCATTTGCAAATTGTTGAACTAATCCCCATTAACCTTCTACACCCTTCTAGTTTATCTATATAATCAATTTACAAATTAATTGAGCAATTTCAATTCATAAATTATAATATGGAAAAGTATAGCTATATATGTTCTTATCATTTGGCAGTTTTTTTGTTTTGTTTTTAGTTGTTGAGAAATTCTAGGATTTCATTCATAATTCAGTTGAAAAGCCACTAGTCACAAAGGGCTAATACAAACTAGCCACAAAGGGTCATTACAATAACGGAACGGTCTAACATCAAAATTAAGATAATCTAGTGCGTCTCCACTAACAATCACGCATGATCAAAGAAACTCTGACATAGCATCCCAACTAAGATTGCAAACTCATAATAATCATTTGGCAGTTCAAGTAGAGAAAAGAAAAAAAATATTGTGAAGTCTTCTTGAAGTTTTTTATTTTTTATTTTTTAATTTTTGGTCAGAGATGTTATCACTGTCATGTTTGGTAAAACATTGTGTCTGTGTAGTGAAAGAATGAGTACAAAAAAAAAAAGGTAGTTTAAAAAAATCTAGCTTCTAAGCAAAATATTGTACCAATGTTTTTTTTATATTTTTTTAGAATGAATTCTATTGAGCTTACGGGGTAAAGTGGTTGAATTAAATATGACCCACATAGATGAAAAATTCCTCCATTCCATAACCAAATTCACTATAAGAGAAAAAAAATTAAAATTCTACTGATAGAAAAATAAAAATAAATGTTATATATGCTTTGATTTTCTTTTTTCTCGCACAATAACTTTTTGACATAAATGATATTGGAGGAAAATTCGAACCTAGAAGCTTGAAAGCAGTGATAATCAATTGAGCTACAAACCCTCTGCTCCTTTCAATTTTTTCTTATGGATCAAAGAAAATAGTAAATACCATAGAATCCCCACTTCAACATGCAAAAAGTAGACAAAATTTCCACATAAAAAAGATAAAGAAGGGGAAAAAGTGTAATGTTAACAATCCGAATTATTATATTCTTTGTATTGTACAAAAAAAGATTATTATATTTAGACAAAATTAATAATTAAAATAAAAAAAGAAATTCCAAATAAGCAAAGAGCCAACATGGCCGGTGCCCCCCGTCACCGGATCTTTGCCTTAAATAACGACTTTTTCTGTCTGCCAAAAAACCAAACTCACCCTCTATCTCCCTGTCATTCCGTTTCGGTTTCGTTTCGTTTCGTTCGGTTGGTCTTCGTCGTCGTCATCATCATCTTCTTCATAATTCATTATTCATATTATTTCCATACCTTCTTTCTTTCTGTCTGAAACTCAGCTGTCTCTTTTTCTCTCTCTCTCTCTCTCTCTCTCTCTCTGAATTACAAATCTCAAAAGGCTTTACAAAAGTTAGAGAGAGAAGCGCACACACGCAGCACAATAATTCACTTTTCTTTCCAACTCTCTCTTTATTGCCAGCTCTGGTAGCTCGTCCTTCCCATACCCATTTCCCATCTCTCTCTCCCCCTCTCTCTCTCACCCCACCACCCGCCATCATTAAATTACACACAGAGATCCCATTTCAGGTACGTCAATTCTCTCTCTGATCGATCACTTCCTCTGTTTTCATACTCTTTTCCGCTCCATCAATACCAATTTTGCTGTATGTTATCTAGATCTCTATGTTTTTCACAATTCTTCCAGTTCTGCTCTCATGCTTATTTTGTTTGCAATTTTCATTTTTTGTTATCTGGGTCTTTATTGTTTTGTATTAAATTTAATGGGTTCTGATTGTTTTCGTTTGTTTATGTATGTGTTGTGAACATTTGATCTGATGGACCATGTTGGTTTTTCTCCCTCTTGATTGCTTGTTCCTTGTTCGATCATCTGTGCTTGTTGGTATTGTTTGATCTCACCTTTTCTTTTCATGAATTTTTCTTGATTTGAATTCGTCAAGAGCTTGAATCGGTTGAATTGAGATGATTGAGTAAGTGATTGACTAGAAGATCTTAATGATTAGCTCAGTACGTAAACTATTGTCAATGCCTTTTGATGAAACATTATCTGGATTCTTTCATCTGGTAAAACTTTACTTTAATCTCACTCCATTTTGCCATTGTGTAATCAGGCACGTTCCTGATCAGTCTTATGTAGTATATCTGCCAAAAAATGTTAATATGGATTTGATACTAATTTAGTTGGCAGTCCTATTGCCATTTCTGTTGTCATGTTGATCACAAGTTACGTTTTAGTTATTGGGTACTTTTTTACTTGTTGGAATACTGGAAGGACTTTCAAATCTGGGAAGCTATTTTCTGTGTGTTCTTGTTGAGTCGGATTCAGGAATGGTATGATCCAGACAAGATTGAGGATTCTTCTCATTAGTGGTTTCGGTAATTAGATACAAGGCTTCAAACTTATTTATATGGCAGCTATACAACTAGCAGATGTTTCATGGATGGATTATATCTATTTCAAAATATCAAATCTTTGTTATTTAGATAAACAAGAAGAGGAGCTGAGTTGGATTAGATGACCGTTGTTGGCTGAGAATTTACCAATGATTCTTCAGTATTTGTGTGTACTTGAAGCCAATGGTTTGAATAGGTTTGTGCTCCAAGTTGTATGGGCAAAACAGATAGAAAATATATTGTAATCAACATAAACTTATATTAGAATGATAGGACCAACTTTGAGGCGAAACTTGTCATCTAGAAACTTTTCCCATAGGAGTATATAAAATTAATTCATGATCATCTAAGTGTGAACTTCATAGGAAGGACTGTACTTACACGTCAAAACTAGTTTCATTATTAGACAAAGATAGCAACGTCTATATAGTAATTAATAAATAGTAATTTCAAGGAGTATTTTTAGGTTAATTCGGGGCTCCACTTGTGGCACCAACGAGTAGATTGAAAGATGGGGAAATCTGAGGACAGCATGATCTGTGGCTGAAGTACTATGAAAAGAAGAATGGTGAAAAAAGGGGACATATTTCGAGAAATATGGTCAAGGCAGCAAACAGGGTGGAATTTAGGTATTTGTATCGCTATGAATGGAAGGTTATCCATTAAAAGAAGTTACTAGGGACAAATTTTGAAGAGGAAGGTCTTGCGTAGAATGAGCAGAGGTGTTCTAAGTATTTTGAAAGCATATGTGGACCAAATTCCAGCTATAAGAGAAGCAAGAGATGTAAGCAATGATTCGCTTATGAGAGTCAGATACGACCTAATGTGATCGGGAAATGCCTCTGGAAGAGAAGCCTGTGATACTAATGCGATTGGGAAATGCCTTTTGAAATATTTTAATTGAGAAATAGTCCAAGGAAGGGGAGTCCATGAAACTAATGTTATCAGGAAATGTCTTTGGAAATATCTCACTTGGGAAATCAGTCAGGGAAGGGGAGGCTATAAAATATCTCACTTGATTTCCTCTTCCATGGCAGCTGTGGTTAACTGAGGGTTGGCGGGTGTGTCGTTTCTGTGGTTTTTCGGTTTTGTTCCTCCCTGTTAGTTTGGGAGGGTTTGGTGCTGTTTTGTTTCTCTCTGTGTTTGTTTTTGTTTCTCCGGTGGTGGTTGCCTTATCCACCTCCGTGTTCTTTTGCTTAATAAATTTCGTTTCTTCTCAAAAAAAAAAAGCTGAATATCTCAAGTGAAGTATCTTGAAAATCAGATCCAAGGTTCAATGGGCAAAACATAAGCTAGACCTTGATATAAAAGGACTGAGACATACTGATCAAGTTAGACAACCAAATTCCAAATACAGTGCAGCACTTGACCTTCATTCTCTCTTCTAGCAAGCACTTGTGCTAGTCTGATGTGAAGTTCTTTGTATACAAAAAAAAGTCGTTAGTTTAGCTTTATGAGATATATAGTGAGGTGAGATGAGATTCTGGCAATTTAAACATATGATATTCTTATAGAGCTGAGATTTATTGGTGCTTCTCCATTGAAGTTCAGCTTTGAGTCTCAATGCTGATATTTGTACTAGTGATAAGAATTATTGAAGCATCTCTATCGAACTTTTGATTTGAGCATCAATGCTGATCTTTATACTATTCTTGAAAAATCAGGAAACTTAGTAGTTTAATTTTGGAAGCTCCTAAGTCTCAGACCTTGTTTGAACTCTATTGGAATTTCTAGATACGCAATTCAAAGAAATTCAGCCTTTCTTGAAAGTAACATCCTTACAAATGATTTCAGGCAATGTCTAGCTCTGCGAAAGCTTTGGATCCAGCATTTCAGGGAGCAGGTCAAAGAGTGTATCCTTTTATCATAGATGGTGACTCAATAAAAATGAGTCTGGGAGACAGTACTTTCTAAACACTATAACAAATGAGACGAACAAACATCTTACTATTTTACTTCCACAACAGAAAAGTGAAAGTGGCTTAAAATGAAATATGACCTAAAATATAATGGAATTGAGGCCAAGTTTCATGTAGCTGATCCCATATAATTGAATCAAGGTTTTGTTCTTATAGAAAAAAAGTTAAAGTAGGTTGTACTTGGTGTCAGTTCTGGGCATATGTAATTTTAAATATCTTAAACATGTTATTTGAGGTTCTCAAACTTAACATATAATAGAGGAACTGAAATTTGGCGAATTGAGAATTTCCAGCCAGTTCCTTTGCCAAAATCTGAACATGGAAAATTCTATACGGGGGATTCTTATATAGTCTTGCAGGTTTGTCTTCAAATTTTCACTCTTTAATTATTTTCAATGCCACTATTTATGTTTTATTTTTTCTTGCAAGAATGCTGAAATAAAAACTAAATTTGTCAGTGCAACATTTTTATTTTGGGAAATGCACAAGTTCAATTTGTCTTGGGGTGAATGATAAGTTGATATCATGATTGAATAGAATTTTTGTTGTTCTCCCAATTTACTCGAGTGAAAATTATGATATCAGCTTCTGCTCTGGGGTTTAAAAGGTTTAATAAAAGTATGGTGCACATTTTTGCTCTCTGCCAATACTTTTATCCATTGCCATTTTTTGCATGTTCCACCTTAAGAAAGGGGAAGGAGGGTAAGGAGGGGGGAAGGGGAAGACAAGGAATGGGTAAAGGACAGACCAAACTTTAGATTTCCTTCAAGGAGGCTTTTTCCATTCATATGTTTTCACTCGCTTATCTGTCATTTTGTAGACATCACAAAACAGAGGAGGTGCTTATCTCTATGACATACACTTCTGGATTGGGAAAGATACAAGTCAGGTGCGTTTCTGTGTGTGTGTGTGTGACGCACACATGTATAAAGCTTGAACATGCCTCGACTTTTTGGTATATTATATGTAGGAGAAAGAGCTAACTTGAAAATATGGTTGCTTTATGTCGTGACTTCTTACTGTAGGATGAAGCTGGGACAGCAGCTATTAAAACTGTTGAACTAGATGCAGTTCTTGGAGGACGTGCAGTGCAACATAGAGAAATTCAAGGCCATGAATCTGACAAATTTTTGTCATACTTCAAACCTTGCATTATACCATTGGAGGGGGGTATTGCATCTGGGTTTACAAAGGTTGAGGAAGAAGAATTTGAAACTCGATTGTATGTTTGCAAAGGAAAACGAGTTGTTAGAATGAAGCAGGTATCCTGTTCTGCTTACATGCGAGTTTAGAGGTCAATTAAGTTTCTTCAATGTAATTCTGCTGGAGGTTAAAGTGAATTCACCTTGCATTTTAATTCTGTAGGTTCCTTTCGCGCGTTCTTCACTGAATCATGATGATGTGTTCATCCTGGACACTCAGAATAAGGTCTTTCAGTTCAATGGAGCAAATTCCAATATCCAGGAAAGGGCGAAGGCTTTGGAAGTAATCCAGTTTTTGAAGGAAAAGTATCATCATGGGACCTGTGATGTTGCAATAGTTGGTAAGTGCATATACGGTATATCTCTGTATATATACAAGCCCACATAACTCTCACTGTGTTGCCTTTTCCTCTGGTATTGGAAAAGCCTGCTTTATCCAACCAGAATTGTTACCTTACATGTTTACTATCTGTGCTGCCCATTCTCACCAGTTACTTATTTCATTTGTTGAAAATTATGTTCACCATGCCAGATGATGGGAAGCTAGATACAGAGTCCGACTCTGGTGAGTTCTGGGTCCTAATGGGTGGTTTTGCTCCGATTGGAAAGAAGGTAACCACTGAAGATGATGTGGTTCCAGAGGCCACTCCTCCTATACTTTATAGGTATTCTCATATTCCGTTACTTTCTTTGTCTAAAGTGTCGATTCTTTAGTAAATGGTAAATTATCTCTCTCTCTCTCTCTCTCTCTCCTCTCTCTCTCTCACACACACACACACACACACACACACACACACACAGAGTGCACTTTCACATGTCTGTGAAGTGTGCCCTTTGGATGTGTTTGCATTTGCATGTGGTAGGTGTGCATAGGAAGTATATTCTGATCTACAAACTCAAAACAGTGAGATTATCTTAATTTTCCCTCACACTTGTTTTTGGACCCAATCTTGCTATAAGTCCTCATGCTTCACATAATATCTAATTGTTTCTGCAAGAGCCTCATATTGATTCTTTTGGGAAGGGGAATAATGGGTAGTAGAGGGAACATCTGGAGGGTGAAGCGTTTGGGAAATAAGGACTGAGGTGGAAGGGGATTAGCAGTTGGAAGAGAGTTTGTTGTATGGAATGGTGCACTATGAGAAGCTGTGGCTCAAGATTCATCAGCATGGAGGCTGGAAAAGGTTGGGTGGGGAGATGGTGCTGGATTCTAGAGAGAAGGATCTCTCTTTAACCCTCTTTCCCCCTTCCCCTTGTTGTTGTTAACACTTGTCAAAACTCTAGTCGGTTCCTTTTCAGAGAGAGCCTGAGATGTTGACTGGACCAAGAATTCATATAGTTGTATTATTATTATTATTATTACCTAAGAGCATATAATTATCACTTGAAGGAAGTTCTAGTGGAAATGTCGGCATATATTGAGGAAACTGAAGTTTAAGGTAAAGAAACCTCAGTTTCCACTGACAGTCAAAAACAAAATTTCAATGTTATGTTACCTAATTTTGGGGAAAATGTGGAAGGGTTCGTTTTCCACCAAGTTTCGGTGTGCTGAAAAACGAAGATATCAGCCAATATGTTTTTTTTTGAGAAGAAACGAAATTTATTGAAGCAAAGGCAAAAACACAGAAGCGGATAAGGCATCCACAAGCCAGCCAAACAACACAAAAACAAAAAGAAACAGCACCAACACCTCCCAAACTAACAGGGAAAAGCAAACCCCAAACAACCAAAAACAACACACACCAAAGCCCTTATTTAACCGCAGCTGCCATATCCCTCATAATTGTGGGGTAAGAGTAGTCTTTAAAATCTTTTGTAACAGATGCCCAAAGAGCTGCCCAGAACTTAACTCTGTCCCAAAGCTCGCTCACTCTCACTCCCTCTGTGCCAAAATGTTAAACATTGGTATTATCCTCATAAAGTTCTAACTTGTAATAACTGGTTTTTGAAGCATAACTGGTGGTGAAGTGAAGGCCGTAGAAGGTGAACTGTCCAAATCCTTGCTTGAAAACAACAAATGCTACTTACTGGACTGTGGTTCTGAGGTATTTGTTTGGGTTGGCCGGGTGACACAAGTGGAGGACAGAAAAGCTGTTAGCCAAACAGCTGAGGTAGTGACGTGCATCTGTTTCTTCATGCTGGTGAGCATATGCATTTACAGTGATACATGTAAATATAACTCTGAATTTTTTCCTAGGAATTTCTTGCTAGTCAGAACAGACCAAAATCAACACGAATAACCCGGGTTATTCAAGGTTATGAGACACATTCATTCAAGTCCAACTTCGATTCTTGGCCATCAGGATCAGCAACTTCAGGTGCTGAGGAGGGAAGAGGAAAAGTAGCAGGTAATTATGAACTCATTTGTAAAGTACATAATAATACTTTCTGGTTAGCTTTATTTACTATTGTATATTTATGGTCTGCTAGCTTTGCTGAAGCAACAAGGCGTTGGTCTAAAGGGCATTGCAAAAAGTACTCCCGTAACTGAGGAGGTCCCACCTTTGCTTGAAGGAGGTGGAAAGATGGAGGTCTAGTATATTTTTCATGCCTCTAGTAATAACTTATTTAATTAGGTTTCTTTGTTGATATTTTGGAATATTGGATGTTTGGTTTTTTCAGGTATGGTTTATCAATGGTGGTGCCAAAGCTCCTTTGGCTAAGGAGGATATTGGTAAATTTTATAGTGGAGATTGCTACATCATTCTTTACACGTACCACTCTGGTGATAGAAAAGAAGATTACTTTTTGTGCTGTTGGTTTGGAAGGATAGTATTGAGGTAATTCACTATCCTGAAAGATTTAGTAAAGCAATGTTGATATTCTTGTTTAAGTGTGGTTTGTATATTCTGGAAGGGATTTCACCATCGTGAAAGATTTAGTACAGCAATGTTGGGATTCTTGGTCTAGGTTCTGTGTTTGTTCTCCTCTTTTGTCAAGCTATTCATGGTCAAACACTACTTTTGACCATAAATAGGACTAGTCATGGCCTTGTTTCCAGTCCAATTATTTTTCATTTTTTCATCTTAATTTTCCTTTTGTTGTGAAAGTGGCGTTCTACATTTTTTTCTGTGCTCCATTGAGAAACCTTAGCATTACTGCTAAAGAATTTTTGTTATATAACCCATTTCAGGAGGACCAGAAAATTGCTTCTCATTTGGCTAACACAATGTCCAACTCACTGAAGGGAAGACCAGTTCAGGTATCATATTATCTGTAGTCATGTTGGAAAATATGTCTTTTGGACTTGCATATAACAGGGGCTTCTTGTAGGGTCACATATTTCAAGGAAAAGAGCCACCACAGTTGGTAGCACTCTTTCAGCCTATGGTGGTCCTGAAGGTATACTGTTTAGTCTTGTGAAAAAACTTCTCTTTCATATTAGGAATCTATATTCATACCAAAATGGTTTAGTATTATCCTTTTAATTTGATTGACTTCCACTTCAGGGTGGCTTGAGCTCTGCTTACAAAAAACATGTTGAGGAGAAAGGTTTGACAGATGAGACTTATACAGAGGATTGTGTTGCACTCTTTCGGTTATCTGGAACTTCCGTTCATAACAATAAAACAGTGCAAGTTGATGCGGTATGAATGAATTTATATGTTGTAATCACTTATCCTACATGACAGTACACATTCCAATGACCTAGAGAATTCTTCACAAATTTTTGGAGAGTGACTTCATATAGTGATAAGCAACTTACTTTATAACATTGCTTAGCTGACTTCATTGCTGGTTAGGTGGGGAGGACTCAATGCAACAAAATGTAGCGGGTTTCACATATGTCGTCCATATTAAAACTATAAAAGCCAGAAAACAGAAAAAAAAATGGCTACAAATTACCCCTGCACTTCTAATGTAGAAAAATTTATCTGATTACTAGTATGCTTTCTTTAAAATTTTCTGAGGTGCATATTGCATTATTTGAGAGAAATATTCAATGGGATTGTTTTCACTTTTTTCTTTTGATTTCCTTTAAGCATATTGTTTTCTATTCTTCAGTTTCCCTTTGGAAGCTAGTCTTGGTTGGTCATCGGACATAATTTGACAAAGTGAATATGAATTTCTATTTTCAAGTTAATTTTAAATTATGGGTTTGGGTTTTTTTATTTTTTATTTTTTATTTTATTTATTTATTTTTTTTGAGAAGGTTTGGGTTTAGTATCTTGCACTGTCAATGAATTATAAGTTTGTAACATTCAAATATTAGCTTTTTATTAATTCAGGTTTAAGGATGAAGTCACTAGAGGAATTTACATAATGGATTTAACATGCTGTAATTGGGCAAGTGAGAGAAAGAGGAGAGAATAATATTGAAGCTGGAGTGGAATAATGGTCCAAAAATTCTTTGTTTTTGAAAAAAAAAATTATACATGCTGATTAGGTGGCTGCAGTTTAATTCTTTTGGCATGTGTTTCCTGTGATTGTTATATGTTGTAGGAAGGTTAAGATGAAACTGCATGCTTCTGAGAGAATGTTTTCTTTGCTATGTTTAGTTGGTGGACTTCTTCAACTGCTGGACATCATCTTCATACTTTTTGCTCTTTCTGAATAATCTTTGCTTGTTGTCAATATATGTAATATAGGTGTCATTTTTGTTTAGGTGGCAGCATCATTGAATTCTACCGAGTGTTTCCTTCTGCAATCTGGCTCCTCAATTTTCGCTTGGAATGGAAATCAATGCACCATTGAGCAGCAACAATTATTAGCAAAACTTGCAGAATTTTTGAAGGTATACTCTTATAAAGTATTCTACTCTCTCTGGATCTTATGTAACATTATCTGCCTATGAAATTATTGTAGATTCATCATTCAGAAGAGTTATCCAAGTAGGCTTAGTAAATATATTTTAGTCAGGTTTTAATTAACAATGTTATAACAATGTTATACTGAGGACTGACATTGTTTCCACTTGTACAAGAATAAGATAATTGTCTAAGTAAAATTGATTAGGAATGTACATGTTATACGTTGGATTGACATTATTTTGTATGTATGCTTAATGCAGTTTCTCAATAGTCGTTGAATAATCAGAGACCTTGAATTTCCAGTGTTTCCTTATATGCTCTGTTTTTCTTTCTTTTTTTTTCTTTTTTTGTTTTGCCAAAAGATGCTCTGTTTTTCTATTTGAGCCTTATGTGCCTTGCTAATACAGCCAGGAGTCACTTTAAAACATGCTAAAGAGGGAACTGAGAGCTCAGCCTTCTGGTTTGCTCTAGGAGGGAAACAAAGTTACACCAGTAATAAAGTTTCTCAGGAGATTGTCAGAGATCCCCACCTATTCGCATTCTCATTCAACAAAGGTGGAAACTTCTGCTAATAATAAAATGCTACTTTAAGCTTTCCTCTTTGTTGAATTTACATTAGACATAAAATGATCTCTAAGTTGGATAATTTGTTTGTAAAGCTAGTTCCGTTCTAACTGTGTTTATTTTGATTGTTCCCGTTTCCATGTGGATTCCCCAGGAAAGTTTCAGGTGAGTTATATGACCTTTTTAAGAGTAATTGAAATTTCCTTCTTTCTATTTTTTTACTTGCTTCTGATCTTTTTCTGTATTTAATTCAACAGGTGGAAGAAATTTACAACTTTACTCAAGATGATCTGCTGACAGAGGATATCCTTATACTTGACACACATGCTGAAGTGTTTGTTTGGGTTGGTCAATGTGTAGACTTGAAAGAAAAGCAAAATGCTTTTGAAATTGGCAAGGTATGCCTTGATATTAACATTTTTCACATGTTTTCTTTTGTTACATTATTCATTCATTATAAAAAGATTTGTGCAGAAATACATAGCGATGGCGGCATCTCTCGAGGGGCTGCCTAATAATGTACCATTATATAAAGTTACTGAAGGAAATGAACCTCGCTTCTTCACAATATACTTTGCATGGGATCATGCAAAAGCCACTGTATGTCCTAAAACAACACTCTCTCTCTCTCTCTCCCTCTATATATATATATATACATGGCCAGTCAGTGACTCAATGGGCCCTCTATATCCTGCAAGATGTGTTCCCACTCCTGAAGTTATATTATGCCATTAATCCTCTTTTCTTTTTCTTTTTTTTGTGGTAGGATTGTGGTTTTTTTTTTCAATAGCACTAAGAAAAAAATTTATTTCACCATGTGCATGCAAGTTTGAGATCTATGCAGTGCGTGCAATATACCCATATAGATAAATTTTAAGGAATTCTTAGTGTAAAGTAGGGAATAACGAAACACATTAAATTCAATGTAACAATGTTTTCTGTAATTTGGAAGGATTTTTACCTTTTCTCTTCATTTTAACCCATTAGTTGAGATACACTAGTCTTTTGATCTAGAACCAAATCAAATGTTGGAAGCATGTGCAGAATGCAGAAAATGATAATTAAAAGTTACAAATCTCATAACGAGGGAAGTGATAAACTGCCTAGATGGGAAGATAATTGTTTTAGTTCAAAGAGTTCATGGTGAAAGTATAGTGACTTTGAAACATCTATTGTAGAATATCATGACTTTATATATGTAGAAGTCTATCTTCTCATAGAAAAGAAAAAAGTGTAGAAGTGTAATTTTGTAATAACATACTAGTCGATCAATGCTTGTTTTTTGTCTTTTTTCTTTTTTCTGGATAACATAGTGTTGATTAAATTCTCATTGTGGTAACTGGTGATCTACTTCATTCTTCAGTGGAATAATTGTGTTAGGGATCATCTAAAGTGCGATTAGATTCTGTAACTCTTGGTAGTGCATTTGAGATGCCAGAATTTTGGTTATATGTGCAGAGTGTCCAAATTAGTTTGTGATGTAAGAATTACTTTGATTAGTAAACTGTAAAGGAAAATGGGGTAATGTGTTTAAAAAGGCTGTGGATATTAACTGCTTTAGTTCGAAGTAATTTATTATGGATTGATTATTCTAGCGTGTTCTATATATATTTTCCTTACAATATGTATACTAAACTGTAGGTTCAAGGAAACTCGTTCCAAAAGAAGGTGTCAATTCTCTTTGGGATTGGCCATGCTGTGGAGGTAAGCAATCTATATTATCAAACATGTTGCGGTGTAATCTCCTCTGATATGTTTGTGCAAAGTGCTTTGTAATAAATTGTCTAGTATATACAAGGGATCCAGGACCATATTATGTCTAAAGATTCTCGTAACCCCATTCATAGTTCTTCAATAAATAAAAAACATAGGCTACACAGTTCTAGGGGTTCACCTTATAATTCAATATTCCTACCACCACCTCTCCAATCTATTAAACTAAAAGAAAAAAAACAATTAATCTCTGTTAACTATGCTGAATACCTCTGGGTATTATAAAGTTGCAATATGGTAAGGAAGTGGAGTACTCTAAGGCTTCAACCTTTCGTTTTCTTCCTCATTTTTTTGGACCCAAGCAGCCCATTTGGAGGGGGTGGGGTTGAGGGTTCTGGAATGATAATTGAAGTGGTGAGTTTGTAGACACATCACATGTGCTCAGCTCACTCTATTGGAACTTCTCAAATTACAAGTTGATTACTGAAATCATGTTTTATTTATAACAGTTTGAAATGATTTAACTACATTAAGGGTAGAAATCTGTCAAATTTCTTAATTTTTTTTAGCATTACCATATATTATCCTTCTGTAATTCATGGAGTAAGGATCCCTGTTGCTGACCCAGGACAAGTCGAGTGGGAATCAAGGAGGACCAAGGCAAAGAGCTGAAGCCTTAGCTGCTTTATCATCTGCATTCAATCCATCCTCTGGAAAATCATCCCATACGGTAATTAAAATTGGTTGTGCCAGTAGTTCCTTCCATGAATCAATACTAGTCTTGCTTTATTGTTTTTGTTTCTCAGCACCTCTTCGTTTTTATATTCTTTTATGATCCATGCTCAATAAGATTGTCTGTTACATGATGATGGTTTGGAATGTGTTCCAAGGCCTCGTATTCAATAATTCAACTTCCATGCAATCACAGGGCCAGGATAAGTCCAATGGATCAAGTGAAGGAGGGCCAAGGCAAAGAGCAGAAGCTTTAGCTGCTTTATCTTCTGCATTTAGTTCATCCTCTGGAACCAAACCTTCTCTTCCCAAGCCTTCTGCAACGGGTCAAGGATCACAAAGAGCTGCAGCAGTTGCTGCGCTTTCAAATGTTCTTAAAGCTGAAAAGACTAGGCTGACACCCGATGCCTCTCCTGTGCAAAGTCCTCCCTCAGAAACTAGTGCTTCTGGTAAGGAAAGAAGAAATACTTCTGATTACCTACATGAAATTCTATGCATGTTAGAGAATGGTTCTTTCTGTAATTTCTTTTATCCTGACCCCAGTAAAAGCCAGTAGTCCTGCATGGTGAGTTTCATTGTTGTTATACATCTCTCTTAAGCATACTTTTTCCCTTTTGATTGAATGGCGGTGTGTTTTATTCTTGATTTACATCATTTGTAAGGAACTTGAATGAGGGTTATTGTTCTTTTTGGTTGTCTAATTTAGTGGTAGGGATGCTATTTTAAAATTCAATTTTGATAGATATCTGGAATTGTGACTTATATCTCTCCAATGATTTCTACTTCATACAATGGTGACCTGTAAATCATTTTCTTCTCTGTTAGACAACATAATTGACCCTACTTTTGAGTTATATAAGATAATTTAAAAGGCTGTATACCAACAAAGTGCAAGCTCTTTTTTCGCCGATTGATCTAAGTGAAAATCAATGCTTGTGATGTTTACCAATCCTGCTCACCCCCCCTCCTTTTCCCTTCTCTCTTCAGTAAATTTTTTTAAAACTAGGAATTAGTCCTAAGCATGATAGATGCTAGCCCTAACCTCAGATCTGTTGCTTCTTGACAATTTTGACTTTGTCTTTGTTCTCGTGAATCTGAAACTGTATAACTTTTGTTACACTTGGGTACTTGCAGCTGAAGCAAAAAGTGAAAATGCTTTCTCTGAAACAGATGGTTTTCAGGAAGTTCCTGAAGTCAAGGAGACTGGTGAAGCACCTGCATCTGAAAGCAATGGGGATGATTCAGAACCAAAGCAAGAGACAGTCCAGGATGAGATTGATAGTGAAAGTAGTCAAAGTACTTTCAGTTATGACCAACTAAGGGCTAAATCGGAAAATCCAGTAACCGGCATTGATTTTAAGAGAAGAGAGGTTGGTCTTTTGTGAATCTTTTCATTTCATCAGTATATGTTTTGAAATCATAGTGACATTTCCTCTGTTTGGTTTTTCAGGCTTATCTATCAGATGAGGAGTTTCAGACCATATTTGGGATGACGAAAGATGCATTCTATCAACTGCCGAAATGGAAGCAAGACATGCAGAAGAAGAAAGCCGATTTGTTCTAGAGGCCGAAATTCGTTAGAATGAGTGCTTTTTCTGTGTTTATTTGCCTCCTAACTTACAATTCATTCATTTTGATCAATTCTTCTCTGTTGGGGTAATTGTGGGTTTTCTGGTACGTTATGGTGGTGCCTAGATTTCTGTCTAGCACTTTGCTCTTGATGAACATAGCGTTGTGGTTAGTATCGTTATTGATTGAGATGCTGCCTAAAGAGTGATTTTTATCTTATTTTTCCTTTCTTAACTGCTGCTGGCTCTTGTAGTGATCACAGATGATAGTCTTATGGACGGCACGCAGGTCAAATTCTTTTATTTGCTCCATATGTATTTCATTTTGGGGTTTCCCCAACTATTTTTTTTAATTTTATTTTTTAGTTTGTTAAAAGGGGGGTTGTATATGTATTACATTTGTATTTTATATACTTGTGACCATTATAAAGGAATGGGAAATTGCTTGTGGTTTGCAATTTGTTGGGAGTATACATTGAAACTTGTCGATTATATTTTTATGAAAATAAAATCATCTCTAATCATATTAGATAAGAAGTTATAATTAAAGGCATGTTTATTTATTGGAATGGGTATGAGAAGAAAAGAAACTATTTCAATATCTGACTTCTCTGCTATTACTAGACATAATGAACCAAAAAATATATGGGTCTCAACTTAAAATTAGCAGTTCATCCAAATCCAATTCCTAATTTTTCGTATGTACTAAGTTCTCTGATTTCTTTGGAAATGTTTTTGTTGACCGCTTTAATCCAAGGTGTATTTTCACCACCCTTAATACTTGACACGTGTTTATAGACATAACCATACTTAACTTCTTACTTTGTATTTATAGAAACATGGTTATGTATCAAGTGTTGAAAATAGTGAATATAAAGCTCCCATAATTGTTGAGAGTTCCCGAGAATGATATTGAATTTGCATAATGTTATTATATTGGTTTTCTGAAAATAAAAAAAACCTTTCCAACCCACTCCCAGAAAATTCTCCAAATATTAGGTTTTCAATTACAAAAGGGATGTAAGAGCGACTCCACCGAGGCCATTGAGCCTCGGGCTGGGGGAAAAAAAACGAAAAAGTCGTTTCTAGTGGACAGCCCAACCTCGGGCAAGACATGGGGCCTACCAAGTCGGACTGGCCCGAAGGCCAGTTCAGCCCGAGGGCCAAAACGCGGGCACTGACGTCATGTGTGCTACAGTACCCCCACGTGCTACAGTGCCCATGTGCTACAGTGCCGCTAAAGTCCACGTGTCACGCTCTGGGCTCTCCGATCAGATTTTTTTCTCCAATCCAATGGCAGCCAATTTTTGTACAATAAAAAAATGAAAAAAAATCAAAAATTTTTTTTTTTAAAATACCAAAAAATTACTGATTTTTATTTTATTTTATATAAATACCAAAATTTTATCCGATTGAGATATGAATTTTATAATAAATATTGACACGTACGAACCCAAAAATCTTATCCAAAAATATTATCCAAATTAATTGTTTAGGTAAACAAATTTGTGAAAAAAAAAATTGAATAGTAATTGCCATTTGCCATGGCAACGGGTGGAAACACACAATACTATTTGCAAGGGCAACCACTATTCACGTGAATAGTGGCTGCCCTAGCTCCCCCCCTTGCCATAGCAAAGGGCAAACAGGTGGAGTTGCTCTAACTCATGATCATTAAAACCTGGTTGAAGGTTGAAACAAACTATGTAAAGCCCTTGCTTACCTCTCCTAAGTCCACATTTCTTCCAAGATGATTTCCTCTAAGAAGATGAAGTCCATAGCCGTCATGACAGCTGTTCAAATATTGTACACGGTTCTGAATATTTTGTAGGGTCAAATTAGCATCCCAGCATGGGATGAACCTGACCATCCTTGTGGCGTACATAATGTTGTTTGGTGCTGCTACAATGGTAGAAATGTATCTTCCTGCCTCTTAATCATTTCATTTTAGGCTGATCTCACTACAGATTGCAATTAATATTATAGTTATTCTCAATTTACAGAGACGACATAACAAACCTAACATGGATGGTACTGCTGAAAGCTTTTCTCTGCAGGCTACTTGGGTTACTAATTTTTATTATTCTTGTGTTAAGAGCCTAGTTCTAACTTCAGCAACATATGTCGCGGCCATGTTAAATCTCGTACCTGCTATGACCTTCATCCTTGCCGTATTTTTCGAGTAAGGCTTTTTTCAGCCATGACCAAATTAATCTCAACCAAAAGATTATGTTAAAAGTAAATCAAACGCATTAAAACCTTTCAAACCTAAAAATACCCAACTTAGACCCATTTAATTCCATGATGAATTTTTGACAATAAAACTGATTCTTTCGTCTTCTTTTGACTAAGATGAACCAATTTTGCATGAATCTGAAGAAGGACAAGAAGTAAATTCACACATTTATCCGTTAACCTTGATTTAATTTTCATAATACACGAGTATTAAACAACTTAAGCTATGCAAATTAAACATTATCTTAGACTGCTCACAAGGTCTGAAGACTTTGAACCATGTTGTTTATTTGAGTTCAAAATACTCAACATTCATATCATCAGGGAAGAAGCAGAATCTTTCCAATGTGCTTGCTGCTTTCCATGAGCCGGTGAGCCTCTGCTGCTTCAGATAATGGAAAATACTTGTAGACCACAGGTTTCACCTTGCCACCCACAATTGCAGGCCACACATTGTTTTCCACCTCCCGAACAATCGCTGCTTTGTTTTCTGGACTTCTGTATCGCAAGCCGGCAGCTTGGATGGTAAGGCGCTTCGAAAGCACAACACGAAGATCTATTTCTGTAACAGCACCACCCATCGTCCCAATAACAAAAAGCCTCCCATCAAAACTCAAGCTGTCAAGGTTCCGCCGAAAGTACTCTGCCCCTATGATGTCCAAGATAACATCAACACCCTTGCCACCCGTTTCTTCCTTTACCCGCGCAACAAAATCCTCCGTCTTGTAATTGATGCATACATCAGCTCCAAGATTCTTGCAAAAAGCTAACTTTTCCTTACTTCCTGCTGTGACAAACACCCTTGCTCCCCAGTATTTAGCTATCTGAATTGCAAATGTACCAATTCCACTGGAGCCCCCATGAACCAAAAATGTTTCGCCAGCAGATAGCCTACTCATCATAAACACAGTCGACCAAACAGTGCATGAAACCTCGGGAAAACTAGCAGCATCCTGCAAAGAAACACCAGGTGGAGCAAGAAGGACTTGTCCAGCTGGAACAGCCACCTTCTCAGCATACCCTCCTCCGCTAAGAAGAGCACACACCTTGTCACCGACTTGCCAGCGGGAGACTTGCTTCCCAACGGCCTCAATGATTCCAGAACATTCGAGACCCAGGTATGGGCTTGAACCTGGGGGTGGTGGGTACATGCCCTTCCTCTGAAGAATATCGGCTCGATTCAGAGCAGTGGCCTCAACTTTTATTAGGACCTCATTGTCTTTGAGTTCTGGGTCTTCAACTTCTTGTAGTTGGAGGACCTCTGGTCCACCTGGAGTGGTTATCACTACAGCCTTCATTGATGCTGCACTCTTTCTTTTTCTCTCTCTTGGACTTGATCTTCCACTGGAGGCCACTCCACTAACGATTCCTAAGTAAACAGGACAGAATACAAGTGTGATGAAAGAATTTAATAATACAAATCCAAAACCTCATCTATAACTCTTGATAAATTAGAATAGACCATGAGTTTTTTGTCTAGGAATATAAAAGTTTTGAAAGGCCATTGTAATTTGTAATATATGCAATATGGACCAGTTATTTCTATAATTCGGAAAGAGAACAAAAATAGAGAGAAAATGCACCTCAACATTCTGAAAGGAAGTAGTCTAATGAATAGAGAGAGCCCAAACAACACTAAAACCCACTGAAAAACCATAACTACAGAACTCAACCAAAAGAATGGGGCAGCTTGGGTTTGATTTGGTGGTTTCAGTGAGGATTGAGGTGTGGGGATGTACTCAAAAAGATTACAGGCTTTTAACTGGAAACATAAAATAATAAAGGAAGACCTTTGCACTTGCGTTATCCACTTCAAACAATCCTCCCAAATTCCTCCCTGTTGCATCGGCAAAGCAACTTCCTCGCTTTATCATCCATGAAAGGCATCAACTGCATATTTACTAAGAACTCTTTACATAAATAATTTTGAATGGACTTTTAAGAAACCATTGATAATCTCTCAGTCTCCCACAAACCAATTGAAGGAAGTTGAGGTTCCACACCCCAAAACCACTAGCAATGGGGAGAGTAGCTCAACTCCTTATAAGCCGCTTCACATTCTCACACGCCCCTTCACGTGTGGCTAATTTTCAAGCTTAATATGTGGACAACACATTTTGGGTGACGTGGAGCACGTGTAGCTGTTGGGCTTTCACACGTGGTCTAACCCGCTCTGATACCATGAAGGAAGTTGAGGTTTTGCCCCAAAACCAATTGAGTATGGGGAGAGTAGCTCAATTCCTTAGAGCACCTCCTGCGTAGTTGGGCTGCCAGGGCAACAGGAAACCACACCCCCCCCCCCCAAAAATCAGCCCAGGCAAGCCCTAGGTCCCACCAGCCTGGGCAAGCCCACGGGCAATTCTTGACTGGGCTCAAGCATGAAGGCACTGATGTCAGCGTGACGTCAACCTTGACATAACCCAATAGGAAAATGCCACATGGCGCTTCCCGAACCCAACAATAGATTTTTTTCTAGAAATCCTACGGCCTTCATTTTGTTGGCTTAAAAAAAAATTCTAATCCAAAAAATTCTTGATACAACCTTGCATTGCACGCGCCAACGGTAAAAAAAATTTAAACTCGCGTGCGCTGACGTCAGCCCTATGCAACCTCCAACGGGTATAAGACAAGTGTCACGCCCCCAGTGATTCGATCTGCTTCTCCTCCTCCAATCCAACAACTTGCATTTTTTTTGCAATAAAATTATGAAAAAAAAAATTGAATATTTTTTAAAATATACTAAAAAATTCTGATTTATTTTTTTTTATTTATAAATACCTATCAATACCCTTCACTTTCAACACCAATCCTCATACATTTTCTTCTACTTCTACTATTATTCACTCTTTATACTCAACATTTTCCTCTGTTTCACCTTGTATTTTTAGTTCTTATATTTATGACTTTTATCAAAACCGGAGGAACGTGGAGCACCATGGAAGATGTTTCCTTATCTGAGGCTTGGCTCCAAGTTTGTCATTGTCTCGTGTCAGGCAATGAGATGAAATTTTTTCATATGTGGAAAAAAATTCATGCCGAATTTTGTGAAAAAATTCCGGGGTCAACTCGTACGGAAATGGCATTGTCTAGTAGGTGGAAAATTCACAATAAAGAGTTGGGAAAATGGAGAGATGCATTGGCAAAAGCAATGGACAACCATAGAAGCGGGGGAAAATCTTAGTAACGAGGTAAATATTTTGTAATTTTCGTTTTATTAAGTTTAATGTCATAATATATATATTTTAATATTTATTGCATTTTCAATATTTTGTTAATATTTCTTGCATGTTCAATATTTTGTTAATATTTCTTGCATTTCCAATTGTTTCTTAATATTTATTGCACTTCCAATTTATTTGTAAGGTTAATTGCATTTCCATTATTTTTTTTTTGTTACTTGCAAAAGATTCTTACCCCGAGAATGCCTATGTCTGTTCACATTCCGGCGACGGCCGACTTGTGAACCACGGCGGCGACCTTGGTTCTCTTCATCTTGCAAAACCACTGCTATGACAACTTGTTCATCGACTTGTCTTTGCAACTCATTGATTTCATCTGCTCTACGGTTTCTCTCCTTTCTTTCTCGCTCTTGCCTCTCCAAGCATCTCCTAAAATCTTCCATTGAGAATGAATGGAGTATGAATTCTAAACTCTGAGAAATGAAAATACAGAAAGATGTGATGTGAGAGGTATGAGCTGAGCCTATGGTTTTATAGAAATTTTTGGCAAGATAGAGATGCCACGTGGCTTGATTTGATTGGATGAAAATCTTATCTGAAATTTGAAATTCAATCGAAATTTGAACCCAAATTTATTTGAATTTTGAATTTTGAAATTCATCAGAAATTTGAACTCAAAAATCTTATCCGGAAATTTTATCCGATTATGAATAGTCTTGACACGTAGGAACTCGGAAATCTTATCCGAAAATATTATCCAAATTAATTATTGAGGTAAAAAAATTTGTAGAAAAAAACAAAAAAATGAATAGTAATTGCCTTTTGTCATGGCAACGGGTGGAAACACAAAATATTATTTGCAAGGGCAACCACTATTCATGTGAATAGTAGCTGCCCTAACTCCCCCCTTGCAATGACTAAGGGCAAATAGGTAGAGTTGCTTTTATGGGTGGAGATGCTCTAAGCCCTTTCTAGGTTTCTCAACTTTCTAATGTGAGACTTTTTACCGTCACATTCTCACACCAATCTTCCTCCAAACCACCATTTCCTAAACAAAACTTTATTTCTCACTCCTCTTTATGTTCTATATAGTCTATATTAGATTTGTAAATTTAAATTTCAGCTCAAACTCTGAGTTCCTGATTACCAAACCCTTTATAATATAATCTATGACTTAAAAAAAAACAAAAACTTGGCAGAAGGGATGTGTTGGTTTCGAACTAAGCAACTAAGATGAAGTAACACTTAAACTAGAAATGAGGACTTCATTATGAGAAAAGGGAGTAAGCAGCTGCCCACTGTTTAAAAAATTAATTTTGCTTTTTCAACAGAAACCTTAAAAAAATTTATAGTTCGACCAATTTTTCTTCAAACTCCACTGAAAATTGAAACTGACACTGATATATATCTGTATAAATAACATATATACCCAAAATTAAATAGAAAAGAAAAATTTATTCTCACTTTGAGATTATAACTAAGAAATGAGACTATAAACAAGAAGAAAAAAAAAAGGAAAACTATGATGTCAAAGAAGAAATACCTTTTGGCCCTTTGGAAGCAATTCAAGGCTGGATTCTGGAAGATTGAGTTGAAACTGCCAAACTGGAAAAATAAGTGGGAATCTGAGGCTGTCACTGAAAGAACAAACAACTGATTCAACTGAAGAAGAAGGCAACAACACAGGTGAAGAACCCAACAAGGGTGGTTCGCGGCGTAAGCAGATATAAGCCTGCGTAATGGGCTGGGCTGCTGGTTGGGAAGTCTAGGCAAGCAAGGCCTGAAATTGATTGATGGGCTAGTAGGGTTTTTGATAGGCAGCTGGGCTTTGAAGAAGCCCACCCCAATTTGCATAGAACTCTCGTACCTGTTGATTCCATATGTGATTGTAAAAGTATAAATAAATAAATAAATAAATTTCATGAAACTGAGGGTGTGTTTGGTATTCTATTCCAATAGGGAACTCAAAAACTTTTATTTTTCTAAAAAACAAGGAGTTCTTAAATCTATTTTTAAAATTCAAAAACTTGTTTGGTATGCAACTTGAAAACTGTTTTCAAATCTTTAAAATTTGAGAATTTGTGGGTTGTTAGAAAAAAAACAGATATTTTTTGTTTTTAATAATTTGGGTGTTTTTTAGTTGTTCTTGAGTTTGAGTTTTCAAAAATAGGTCTACCAAAACAAGTTTTCTTTGTTTTGGACTCAAATTCTGTTTTTGAGTTTAAAAAGTTGAATTCAAGTTGAATACCAAACAAGCCTTCAATGTTTCCAACACCCATTTGTTAGTAATCATAGGAAAAGTCATGAATGAAGATAATTCCAATACCTATTTTAGGTGAGTTAAGTAAACATTCATGATTGGTTGAAAACCGTCCTTGTTAATATTCTCATTGAACATGCTTCCATAGCATGCTGAATTGGATCACTTGTTCTGGACATTCAGTTTTTACATTCTCAATGCCGACATCTATAATTGGTTCATGTGTATCGGGAAGCTTGCCATTACCAATTGCCATTTATTCTTTTCACTATTTCCATGAACTTTTTTAGGATTGTTGAGAGGCCTTTTGATTGAATGGTGGTGTGTTTTATTCAGACACATCATTTGTAAGGAACTTGAATGAGGGTTATTGTTCTTTCTTTTGGTTGTCTAACTTAGTGGTAGGGCTGCTATTAAAATTCAATTCGATAGATATCTGGAATTGTAACTTATATCTCTCCAATGCTTTCATTTTTCTACTATGTTAGATAATTTAGAAGGCTGATATACCAACAAAGTGCAAGCTCTTTTTTGGCTGTTGATCTAAGTGAAAACCAATGCTTGTGATGTTTTCCAATGTCTCTCCCCATTAGTCCTAAGCATAATACACTAGCCCTAACGTCAGATCTGTTGCTTTCTTGACGATTTGACTTCGTCTTTGTTCTCGTGAATCTGAAACTGGGTACTTGCATTGCAGCTGAAGCAAAAAGTGAAAATGCTTTCTCTGAAACAGATGGTTCTCAGGAAGTTACTGATGTCAAGGAGACTGGTGAGGCAACTGCATCTGAAAGCAATGGGGATTATTCAGAACCAAAGCAAGAGACAATGCAGGATGAGAATGATAGTGAAAGTAGTCAAATTACTTTCAGTTATAACTAGAATTGCTCTACAAATATAATTTTTTTTCAACAGTATAGCCGTGCGGCTATA